GAGCCTGCTTGGGGTGAGAAGAGAGACCGGTTGGTTTAAGGGACGGTGAGGAAGGGGAGGGTCCGTCGTGTGAGGGTGATGGCGGTGCTTGTGTGAGGTGGGGGAGCTGGGAGGGTGAAGGGAGGGAGCAGGGTCGCTGCTGGGTGCTTCTGCGGCCTCCAGCTGGATTTTCTTCCCCCAAAAGGGTGCTCAGGCATCGGAACAGGCTGCCCAGGGCAGTGCTGGGGTCACCGTCCCTGCGAGTGTTCACAGCCCGGGTAGACGAGGCCTCAGTGCCAAGAGTTAGCGGGGTCTTGGGGAATGGTTGGACTTGATGATCTTAAAGGTCTTCTCCAACCCAGTTGATTCTGTGATTCTAATTATGGTGAACAATAGCTGTTATTAAATAGCTGTTTCATAGGCGTTCCCACCAAACCAAAGGAGCAGCACATCGCGTGTTTTGGGGTTGTTTTCTCCCCCCACCTCCTTGTTTTTAGGGTTCTCTCAGCTCTGGGTGGAATCTGCAGTGTTTTCTGAGCTGTTGACTGTACTGAGCATTGACTATCTCTGTCCCTAGCATAATGTAACATATACGAAGGGCTTGGGTCTTGGAGAAGCTTGAGGAAAGGACTTTCAAAGTAAGAACTATCTTTGTGTCCTGTTTGCTGCCAAATAGTTAATTTCCTTTGGAGTTCGATAATCATGAGGCCATCAAAAAAAGAGGAAGAGCAGAGCATAATCCTGATCAGTGACGATGAAGCTGAGAGCACGCTGGGGAACTCGGTTCTGTTGGTAGACCCTCTGGGTAAGTGCCGTGCTCTTGTTGTTGAGGAAGTTCTGGAAAGAACTTTGGAAGTCAAGTTTATGAATTATAAAGCTATCTTTACAAATTATTAAGTGATGTGCTTGAAATGAGTCTTTCTGCTGCTACGAAAGCAAAATGCTTCACAGATAAATGAAACCAGGAGGAGCTGCCATTATTTTATAACTTTTGAGATTTCTTTGGCTGTTCAGCTGAACCCTGAATCTTACTGCTGTGTAGTTTCAAGCTATTACAAACTGAGCTGAGAGATTGAGCCTTTCGGTGTCTGTTTTTGATTCCATTAGTTCTGTTTTGATAGCGTCTGGAAGTTTTTGTCCAAGGCCACTGCACCCTTGTCTTCGGTTCAGCTGTAACAGTTATTTTTCCCTTCTTAGTAGCTGGTGCAGTGCTGTGTTTGGGCTTTAGCCTGAGAACAACGCTGATAACACACTGATGTTTTAGTTGTTGCTCAGCAAAGCTCACCCTGATCAAGGACTTTTCACTCTCTCATGCTCTGCCAGTGAGGACGGGCACAAGAAGCTGGGAGGGCACAGAGACAGGACCCCTGACCCAAACTGCCAAAGGGGTATTCCATATCACAGCACTTCATGCCCAGTATAGAAACTGGGGGGAATCACCCACAAGGCCCAGATCACTGCTCGGGTCGGGCTGGGTGTTGTGCTGAGCAATTGTATTGTGCATCACTTGTGTTTATAGTTGGGTTTTTTCCCTTCCCTTTTTAGTTTTGTATTCTCTCCCCTTGCTGTTTCCCTTATCATTATTATTATTATTATTGGTGGTACTAATAGTAGTTTTGTATTATACTTTATTTATTGGACTGTTCTTATCTCAACCCATGGAGTTTACATTCTTTTGCTTCTCCTTCCCATCCTGTTGGGAGCAGAGGGGAAGAAGTGGGGGAGTGAGTGGCTGCGTGGTGCTCAGCTACCAGCTGGGCTTAAACCACAACACCCATTTTTACTGACATTGCATGAAGCCATCAGAAAACCTGTGCCTTCAAGTGTGTTTAAAAATTAAATGTCACAATAGCTGGATGAATTTGTAATGAAGTTGTAGTTTCCTTTGTACTGACTTACACTGCATTTTGTCTACAGAGAAGCCTGCTCTGGAGGAGGAGAATTCTGAGGAAGTTGTGGATGAGGAATGTGAACTAGTGGTTACTTTCTGTAAACAAGCTAATGTGATGCCTCATGCAAGATACGACTGTACAATACACCCGTTTGAGTATGTTCAGTGGTGTGGAAGTTAATGGGGGGGGTTCATTTTCCACATTTAGTCCATCTTATCAAGCCACCATGTTAGCTTTTTAGCAGCTGAAAGAAGTAGAGTTGGATAAACATAAACTTGGCTCATAAATAACCTCCTGCTTTTCCACTTTGTAGGCGAATGGAATGTGATACATGCTCACCCCTTGGGAAAAATGCTGATATTTGTGACCAATGCTACTGCTATATTTGTGATAAGCTAGCTTCTGAGGTAAGAGTTGTAATCAAGGACTGCACAACTGAGTAAGCTGAATTACTCTCCAGTCTTTTTAAAAAGAAACCACTCTTGAACACACTAAAAGAATAAATGATACATGAAAGTTAATATTTTAACAGTTCCTCTCCTAAATCTGCTTCACAGTGCTTCTACAAACATAGTCACTGGCTGGGTTTATTTCTGGTAGTCCAGCTGATTGCTGGAGTTTCACTTGGTCTAAGCAATTGTACCTCCTGTTTGCTTTAACCACACAGTGTTTTTCATGGAATCAAATGACTAAATCAGGCTGCTTCTCACTGCACTAGAGAAATATCAAGCTTTCAGACTGTCCTAGCATAGAATGAGGGAGTTGGAGGAATTAGGTGCATGGGGTTGGATTGTTTGGGGTTTTCTTAGTCAGAAAACTTTGGAAGTGAGGGTGAGCATGCAAAGACAGTGCTGTGTCACCAAGTGACAGTGGGGAGAGTGCCAGCCTGAAGTGCCTCTGTAAGGTATTCAGGAATGAGGGTAAATTACTGTGGGCTTTTTAATTTGTTAGCCATGATACCAAGTTATTGTTGTATTAGCCTCTTGCCCTGACTGTCAAAATACTTCACTGGGGCTTTGCCTGGGTCTGTAAAGTGTGAAGTGAAGTGGAGTCCTTCACTCAGAGGAACTAACCTTTGATTTGCTCAGCTAGAGGGGGGAAAAAAACCCCAACCTTTCCCTGTTCTTCATGTTTTATGAAATAGTGTGAGAACTGGACAACCCCTTCCCTCTGCCACTGCAATGCACATAACAAGAGCAAGTTCTGGAAGGACCAGCGTGACTTTGCCTTGGCTGGCATCCTTGTAATGTTCAATTTGGAGCTCACAGATATAGACGCAGACCTTCGGCACGGTGGTAAGTACACATGTGGCTCACTGTGGCTACTCAGTCTGGGGTTTGGTGGGCATTTTGTCAGGTCCACAACTGTCTTTGCAAAGGCTTGGTGGATTTTTAAGGTAGCAGTTTACTGTTGCTCCTCTTTTTGGGCCATACTCAGAGCAGACGTGGGTCTGCAGGTGCAGTTTGAGCACTTTCCTGCTTTCCTCCCTCTGGAAGAAGCAACAAACCTTTTCTGGGCAACAAGATTGGGTGTGAGCAACTTGCTAAGTATTTTACACTTATGACTGTCTTTGTGTTTCTTTTTGTTATAAAAAGATTAAAAACTGCACTAGGTTTCACATCTGTCTCTGCTTTCTTAGGAGATCTTCTACTAAAATTTATCCAGGAACTTTCTGTGGAATATAATAAGTATCTGGTTGGAGAAAAAATGCTTCCCACAGAACATGAATGCTTTTGCCTCCCAAAATTCCCCCCTGGGCAATGCAATACTTGCGGATCATGCAGCATGGAGGTTGTATACAAGTAAGTGGCAACAGAATTCAGCTACTAGCAGTACGTACTGCTCAGTGCAAGCTTGATTTCCTTTGGTGAAGTGGTAATTGGAATTGTGGCACCTGATACAGCAGGAAGAGTTGAGAGAACTTACTTGGCCAGTGTGCTATTTTAGAGGCTTTTCAAGGAAAGGCCAGTCAATTTGCTCTCAAACAGTAGGATGGTTGTAATTGCCACTTGTTTATGAACTACATCATTGCAGACACTTTATCTTATAGACTGCTTCACTTTCTTAGGTATTCTGGAGTTTTTGCACTGGTAACAAGATTTTTAAATCAGGCAGAAAAAGAGAATCCTAAAGCTACTGCTGTCATGTTTCTGGGAGCAGCTAAGGAGATAGCACATCATAAAGACCCTGCTTTGTAAGTATCCAGTTCCACTTCTAGTGTGTGATCTTCATTTGCTCTTCAGAGGGAAGAGACTAAGAGAGTTCTGGTTTTCCATTTATTAAGGGTAAGGACAGTGTAAAGTTCACAGCTCTGGCTGCAGCACAGTGAGAGGAAAATGAGCACACCTGAGGGAGAGATGAGTTTGGTTATGGGGAGGGCTTTTTGGGGGGAAAAGAGAAGGCTAAAGTTTGGATGTGAGAGGAAAAAGTGAAGTAGGATTGAGTCGTGAGGAGGGGAGATGATCTCCAGCAAGGGGAAGGAGTTTGAGATGGGAACTGGGAGGAGGGAGGGTGATAGACAGCAGATGGTGGCTGCTGGGGTTAATTCCCCAGGAGAAGGCACAGGGGCAGGGGAGCCTTCCTGAGTGGAAAGTGCACAAGCTGCACTGTGTGGAGAAACATCTGCTTCTGACCTGGAAGGAAGGGAGGATGTGATGTGTTCTTTGGGTACTGAGTTTTAGATGCTGCTTCTAAGTCTGGAGGCTGCCCTGTCAGCTGGGAGGACTTCATGAAATGTCCTACAATCAGAGTTTAAATACTTCAGTCTTTACTACTGGTGCTGTTTATTTTCTTGTTTATATCATGGCTGTTTCATGCTTGATTAGCGTCTACCTTGAGCAAAGGTCGCAGGGCTTTGCACTGGAAAATCTAAATCGTTTGGGGCTTACATTCAAGGCTTTTTAAGACAGAGAATTAAAGGTGGGATTTTCTTAAACAGCTGGTGATAAAGAACAGGGCAAAGGCAGGAAAACAAGACAAACATTAATTAGGGCTTTTTTCCCCTCCCCTTTTAGAAGCTGGCAGAACCTTGGTCACACTGGCTCATTAAAGATTGCTGTCCCTTCTCTGCTGCAAAGGTAAGACTCGTCTTACCATATGAGATGACAAAGGGGTGGTTGCTGGCTGCACACTTCCTGCTTGCATTTAAAATATGTTTCAAATGACTTCTATTCAAAAGCATAAAGTAAGTGAATGCTTTAGGTCTTAGAAGCCAGAAGTAAACCTGCACAGGTGTAAAATCTGGTTCTGTAGCATCAGGAGCTCCTTATCAGGGAACACAACCCCACTGTAGTGTCTTAGGTATTGAGCAGAGCAAGAGTAGCCTGCTGCTGCCTGCATATAGACTGCAGATGGGTAGGGACAGGCAGTAGAATACAAACAATGTACATCAGTCAGCCTCATGAGCATGCTATCAGGTTCTACAGCTGCACACTGCAAATCAGGGTTTTTAGAAGCTCTGTTGAGTATGAGTTTCTTTCTGTGAAGGACAAGGGCAATGCTGGCTCTATTTAGAGCCACATAAATATTCAAACCCTTCTGTGTTGCCTCAAAGGGGAATAACACAAAGCCAAGAAGATGGATTACTTTTTGACAGTACTCTAGGAGTGTCCTGTAAGGCCAGACCAGAAGGTGGTGTCAGATAGCTACTTGTAGTTAGTAAGCCAAAGAGTAGATAGTGCCTGATAAAGATCAAAACAGCAGCCTTGTAGTATTCCACTGGGATGGAGGAGTCAAGGATGTAACACAGCAGAGTTCCCCAGAGGCTGATGAATGAGGACATCGAGCTCACTTGGCTTAATTCATTTCTCATTTTAGCTTTATATTTCACCTTTAACCCAAAATTCACTTGCACCAGAAGGTTAATGAATGAAGGATTAACTTTTTTCAGGGGCACTCAAAAACAATTATATGTTCTCACCTCTTATTTGAGACTAATGACAGGTGTAACCTAAATCCTGTATCAGTTTTCATTTTAAATTACTATTCTTGAGTTTAATTTCTTCCTCTGAAAGAACAGGAAAAGGAATTTTTTTGTCTCTCTCACCCAGTTCTCAAAGAATAAACTCCTCTTTGTATTCTATCCAGTGGTCAGGTAAGACCAAAATGGTTTCAGTAGCTGTGAGGGTGCCACGAGCTTGAGCTGACCAGTTTACTGCTTGGATTCATCACATGTTGTTCCAGTATTTCTCTATATACTCTCTGCTGATCTTTGCTTTCAAACTTAAGGCCACAGAACCTTGGTTTCACTGTTTTATTTTAAACCTTGTTTAAAATAATAAAAGGCCAGTACTGTTATTCACTACAAATCTTAAAGCACAAATTGAAATACAGATCCAAACTGTTTGACTTTAAACCAAAACCAAACCCCTGAACTTCTGTAGAATAGCTTCCCATAGGATTAAAAACAAAACCCACAACAACTTAATAGTAATTCCTCCAAACTAAAGAGAATTTGATGTTTCTCTTTGTTTTTTCTCTTCAAACACAGGATCACAACCCATCTTCAGAGGATGCTGGTGTTGTGTGACTTCCCCAAGTCTTTGTATGAAAAGTTTGTTCATTTCTTTCAGTCCATCTCACTTCCATGTCACTGCTTTGGCTTCTCAAATAGGTATGTTCTTCGGGGGTTGTTTAGAGAAGATGTTTTTATACAGTTGCCTGATGTGAAAACGGCTGTATAGAATGGTTCTTGTGCATCTTTATAGGGAGATTTCAGTATTAGCTGCTTTGTATTTGTCCTATCCCAGCAGGAAAACTAGTTGTTCATCCTGTGGCTAAGTTGTTGTTCATATAGAAATGTTTTATTGGTGAATCTTCCTGTTGCTTAAGGGAAATAAATTGTGGTGTTCAAAAAAACGTGGTTAAAAATGACTTTCTTTTTGTACTTCCAGCTTGAATGTTATGCCATGGGATCATGTGTTACTGACCACTGTCTTAAAAGGCCAGAACATCACTGGTCAAAGAACACTGAAAGGAAGAAGAGTGTTTCTCTGGGAACCACTCCCTGTTATAGAGGCTCGAGTGGAGAAATTGGTAGACAAGAAGAAGTAAGATCAGTTTGACCTTGTTTTGTTATCTTCATCTTATGAACTCAACATTTGTTTTGCATGGCGTTGACTGCAGTGTGGTGTTTTCCCATCATCTGCAGTTTTGTATAATGGGGAAACCTGCAAAACAAAGTCACATTTGAAGCTGTTTGTGCCTATTGCTTCTTATCAAGAAGGCCAGTAGCTTTTTGAAGTTTTTCAAAGCAGAATCAAGGCCTTTGAACGCTTCAAGGTCAGAAAAGAATGTTGAAGTGGATCATTTCTTTGTTTCCATAAATGCAGTAGGTTTTAGATGCTGATGTTTAAAACAAATTCTGTCCATCTAAAGGCTGACTAAGTGGAAGATGGCCAAAGAAGTGTTTTCTGGTCTCTGGGTCTTCAGAAGTCTGCATTTAAAAGATTTAAATTGAGAAGCAGTCTCCTGTTCTAGTTTGCCAGAGTACAGATAAAATCAGTGGGTGGCTTCTTGGAACTTCTTTCCAACTGTCTCCTTCTACCAGTTATGTCTCCTCTTGTGCAATGTGTTTTGTGTAGGAAGACCTATTGTTTTGCTTCATTAATTGCAGTATATATTTTATTGCTCTATATATAGCTTTCCACTTCCTTGCTTTTCCTACTATCTTTTTCTTTCCTCCCCAGCTATAAAGAAGTTGTTCGCTACCTGAGGGCCGTGAAGTGCAATGAAACCAAAGGGTAAATGGTTTTTTTTCCCCCCTTTTCTTCCCAATTATTTCTTTGCCTTAAGATTGTGTCCTGACCTGTGTTTCCTCAATGTGTAATAAACTGGTAGCATGAAAAGCAGTAGGATTTTGGCAGCTGTTTGCTAAGTGAAAGCAATGCTGTGTTGCAGCTAACTTCTGCCTCGTCAATGTAACTCGCTAGTGGTCAAGCATAACGTGATCTATAAAACGTATGGTAGAACTTTGATATTAATGAAAATCAAATACTCATCCCTTTTCTCTCCCCAGGTTAAGACACCTCCGGGATAAAATCCCATTCTATCTGTGTAAATCTGGAGACTTCCTAGATGCTGCACATTCCCTGCTGTTCCCTGTCAAAAGCCTCGCCTGTTGCACTGCCTGCCGCATCACACCTTTTGAGTATGAGGTCTATCTGAAGATGTTCAGAACAGGCAGTGTCCCTGCTGGAAAGGATATGCTGGACTCTGGGCTCTGGATTACAGTTGGCAAGTGTAATTTCTTCCTTATGTATGTGTAGAATCTTACTTAATTATGGCTTTTACTTTTTCATTAAAATTAATAGCATTCTGAGGGACTCTGATCCCAACTATAAATAGTCTGCACTGAAGCACAGTCCATAGCACCAGGCAGGAAGAATGTCTTTTGAGCATGAATTATTTGGGTACACTTCACACAACACTAGTTTCATCAACTGTGAAGTTGTTTTGCCTAAAGCAACCTATGAACATACAAATCTCCCTATTGCATCATGGTGTTACTAGTGGTAGTGTGTCACTTAGCCCTGTGGTGTGCCTCGGCCTTGACCTTGAGAATGAAAACTTCCTTGTAGAAAGGGTTTCATGGTCTGTGCATTACGTTCTGTCATTAATTCAGGCACTGGTAACTGTGATCATCTGGTGTGTGTTACCTGTCAAGGTGCATTCTGATTTATTTTGGAGATGTTCAGTTGCTAGTAGAATCCTTAAAAGTATGAGATACTGACAGTGTGTATCACACTGTGATGTACATAGTGAAGGCTTTGTTCAAGGTCACCTGCTGTGATGGTTTAGTCTAAATTGTATTCAGTTCTTTGTGGCTTTCCAGAATAGCATTTTACTGCTGATATCTTTCAGTTCAGGACCAACCAAATACTGTAGAAGAGCCATAGACACTTGTTTGTCTCTTTGTTAGGTTTCTGTAGAAACGTGTCTGTAAATAAGTATACTGTTTGGTTTCCTAATCTGTAGTTATTCAGGAAATATATGTTTTGGCTATCTTTTCTTCTTGCAGGTCCTCCCTTGAAAGATGACATTCTGATTAAGCAGGCACTGAAACTCCTTTACAGCAACATGTCACTCTACAGGAATGTGAGTATCTTAAAACTGTGTTTCTGTGTCCCCTTGAGTGTTTCTCTATATTACCTGTTTTGTCCAGTTACTTCCCTAATGCAAGGATTTACTGTCAAAGTACTTCTGCCTGGGAATAGTTTACACTTCTGTGAATAGGTTTGACTTTGTAAAACAAATGTTCTGCTGTGTTTCAGCCTAAATGCTGGAGTACCCTCATCATGATCTTGGGCAGCAGCAATTTGCTGGAAAAAAGTGGGCACCTACATCCCATGGCCCTGAAAGAGCCTCCACTTGACTTCCAAAAGGTAACTGAAACAGTCCTGTGAGAGGGGAGAACCTCTTGGCTTGGATTTACGAGACTTCATTTGATGTGGGCATTGTTTTGTTCTTCTAAATGCTAAGGTTAACTTTACAGTTCCTCAAATACTGCTGTGGTATGTGCAGAATGGTGTGATTGAGGAGTGTTAAATGCTGCAGCAAATGGATTCACGATGCTTGCAGCTCAGTGCCTGATACTGATCTCTTTTACTGTTGAGATGGATCAGATAACAAAATGGATAGGGAAGCAGTTTAAGAAAAATAGGTAAAAGCACATTTAAGAACATCTTGGGCACTGTCTGATGTTTGTAGAGTGTCTGAACATCCTTCTTTACTTGTGACTCTACCTCTGTTGCAGGGGGTCCTTGCTGCCAGTTGTGGCCTTTTGGAGGAACTGAAGGCAAAAATTAATGTTTCTTTACCACCCTCTATTTTCTCTCCTCATGTAAGTGTGCACGTAACAATGAGAAAATTTACTATTTGTGTTATGGTGCTTGAAGAAGTAGCAGTGTTGAAAACAGCTGGATTATTAAAGGCTTTTAAAGGGAGCTTGAAGATTTTGAGGGGGGAATTGTCATGAGACTGTTCTTAACACAGTCTAAAGGCTAGGGCAGACATCTGAAATAAGAAAAGGACTAGGTCCTAGTCTGGTCTGACACCATCTTCAACCTAGGACAAGTCTTGCTTTACCACTGTCCAAATTTATACATTTATAAAGTGGGAGGGGTGGTGGTAATTGATTCTGTCTTAACTTCTCACAGGGTGATCTTGTGTGGTTTGTTTTAAACAGGAGACTACCCTTTGAGACTTGACAGTGTGTTTGGCTCAAAACTGGCAACAGCTCAGAATTACTAAAGTTTTGAAGGATGGTTTCAAGTATAGTGAAACATGTCTAAAAATGGCTTGGAATATATCCTGTATTAAATACAGTCAGTACGTCTAAGGAGATTTCTTCTTCTTTTTGCCTGCTTCAGAGGAAATTTAGCTTACAAATATGTGACTCCTGGGCCAGATTTTTTTTCTCCCTTTAATTCTGTTTCTGCTTCATGTTTCTGTGAGGACTTTATAGCTTTTGTCACCTGATGATCCCAAAAATAAATACCTGTTCTATTCCCCCTTCTTTTGGCCTTCATAAGATTCACATGGATGTCATGTCTGACATCGAACCTGCCTATCTGGAATGGTAGTGATTTAGTGCTGATTTGACTGGATGTGATAGACAAGTAGTGGGAAAGTGGGCTTTTAAATACATGTCTCTTCTTGTTGCTATCTCTCCCTGTAGTTACACCATGAGGCTTGTCTTATTCTCGCAGTACAAGCAATACAACAGATGCTTTTTTGTGATCTTCCATACTTGACTTCCTTCTTAGAGATAGCTCTGGCTTTTGGGGTGAGTCCTGGCTTTTGATTTCTGTTCCAAGACATTGAAGCAAATGGTATTTAAAATCTGTGTAACACCAACTTGGAGATTTTAGACACATTTAACTTGATTTGTTCCCTTTTAAGTTTGCTGACCTTCAATTTAGTCTGGGGTTCAAGAAATTGGCAATTGGGTTAAATCATTGGTCTTACTTTGTCCCTTCCTAGAATAACTTTTGGGCTCTGAGGCTGTTACTGGAACACCTTTCCTACGAAGAGCACATTCTCCATGGCACTGTCAACCTGATTTTGAGAGACCTACATTGTCAGAAAGCAACAATGCTAAAGCTGTGAGTAAACACTTGCTCCCTCTCTGTCTGTTTGCGGAAACAATAAGAGCAGTCCTGCAGCAGTAACATTTAGCAGAGATGTAACCCTTAGCTCTTTGAAACCAGCCAGTCAAGAATGCAAATAAGATGCCAGGAATTAATAGGCACATTGTCTCTGCTTTTGCACAGCTGTGTTCTGTTTCCTGGTTTTATATTGCTTAGGTGGCAAAACCTTGGTCCCCAGTATGTGGGTGAATTCCTCTGCCTGTTCCTGACTTGCAGACATAAGAAGATGCAATCCATCGGCCTCTTCAGTCTGAATATTATCACAGAGAATCTGCATATGTAAGTGTGAATCTTCATCATAGCCAGGTAGAAAACCATTGTGCACCACTGATGGTAGTTTTCTCTTAATTAACTGTCTTAATTCACAACTGATTCTTGGTTTTTGTTCTTCCCTGTCATTAGCAGTGGTAAAGATACTGAGCATGATGCTCTGGGTAGATCTGAAATTGTTCTGTTTACCTATTGCAACCAAATGGCCTTCTCATTTCCCAGTGCCCAATGTTATGAAGAACATGTTGTCTGCTCCTGGCAACCCTGACCAGTCATCAAGAGTACCCAGGGTGCAGTCTGGTTCTGGTACTTAAGTATCACTGTCATCAGCAGCAACCAAGAAAACCTTTAATTAGGACCTGGAGCAAAGCTGCTACTGGAATCTAAGGAGGCTTAATGCTGCATAGAACTTTGTCCAGGGAAAACAGTTGAAAGTAGCTCTAAATGTGGACTATGGCCTATCTAGAAGAATACAATGGGTGTACAGGTTCAGTATTAAGCTTGTAAGAAATACTTCACATAGTAGGGAGGGAGTAGACCCCCACCAATACCTAAAGATTGAGGAATGTATGTGCACTGTAATGCAAACTGAGGACAGCACTATGTGCCTGGAAGAGACACCACTTGCTCTGCAGCAGCACAAAGCTTCAGTGGGTGGGGAAAACAGCCCTGAAAAAGTCTGAGTACTTTGGATTACAAATGACAACAAAACAGTGATGTGTCACTTTTGAAACCTCGAGCTGTTTGTAAGTATAATCCTGGCTCTCCTGTGTTAGGCAGCAAAGCTTTCTGGCTGCTAGAGTTGATAGACTTTAATGTATTGACATAATAGTTTTTAAATTAATTGACTCTCTGGTTGTATACTGGAAGGCAGAGTAATTGCTCTGGCACTTTAAATTCACACATAGCTGCTGACAGCAGAGTGATGTTGAGTGGAAATCACGGACAGGTAAGTTGAAATTCTTCTGTTTCTTCTCTCCAGCCTTCGCTGTGTGTAGCAGAGAAAATCAAATACCTGATTTCATTTCTGTTTGAAAGTTAAAGTGAGTTGTTGGACTGGCCTTTTTGTAAAGCCTTGAGTAATGCAGAACTCAGTGGCTGAAGCTGAGGGCAGGTGTATCCCTATGAGAAAGTGGATTAAGACTCTGTATCTGGTTTTCAGGTGTCCTTGGGCAAAGCATCTTTGCAACTTCTTTCACAATGCAGTGAGTATCTGTGTATTAGAATGTAACAACAAAGTGTATCGCTGACAACTGTATTATATATTAGTTAGATACTTAAATATAAAACTTAACATGTCATGTTTCAAATGATAAGATGACAAGAGGGTAGATTTAGATAAGATATAAAGAAGCTCTTCCCTGTGAGGGTGCTGAGGCGCTGGCACAGGGTGCCCAGAGAAGCTGTGGCTGCCCCATCCCTGGCAGTGTTCAAGGGCAGGCTGGACACAGGGGCTTGGAGCAACCTGCTCTAGTGGAAGGTGTCCCTGCCCGGGGCAGGGGTTGGGGCTGGATGAGCTTTAAGCTCCCTTCCAACCCAGACTAGGCTATGACTCTATGAAATGTCATATATCCTTGATAGCTATAATACCATTATAAGAATCACTGAATTACACTATTTCTTTTCTCTGCCCAGGGTCTGAGGCACCTGCCCCTTGGCACTGCAGCTCATCATGAAGTCTCCAAGTTCATAAACATATTTGAAAATCTGTAATTTGTCACAATCTTCAGGAATATTTTCCAACTTGTCCTAATCTGAGAAACCTCTTCCTGGAATCCCTACAAACTGTCTTCAGACAAATCCAAAATGAGAACCTAGGTTAAGGTGGGGAACAGCAGCTGCATTCCCCACATCAGCAGATGTGTTGGGGGAATTTCCTTTCTTTTGCAGGTCCATGTGAAGCATGATGATGGGTTTCAGTTTCCTTAAAAAGCCATTCTACAGAGAGATGCTGGTCGGGGTTTAGGATGAGAGAGGGAAACGCAGATGAAGCAGAAAGCACCATGAGTTCTTTACTTCGTTGTTAGACCCATGTGCTGTGGGTGAGACATCTGCAGCAGAACAACTGCCCAGAGAGCAGAAGGCTAAAACAAGGAGTCCTGGCTTTGCCCAGGTGTGTGAGTGACACAGTGTGCACTGAAATGCTGTTTGCACACTCTTTTTGCTTTGGTGTATCATAAAAATAACCCGCTCTTGAGGCTGAAGGGCATTAACTGAAGCTTTCTTATTGCTTCAGGATCTCAGATTCAGGAGGCCTCATGCAGTAAATAACTTTTGTTTGTGAATAACACAAGTCTCATTTTCAGCTGCGGGTTTTACTTGGTTTTATTTTCTACAGTAGGTGACTTATGCTGGTGCTGATGGCTCTGGGTTTCTCAAATCCTCATTTTAGTGCTAAGGTTGAGTTCATCTTTGACCTGTGGAGTTAGAAATGAAAAAGTATTTTGGGCCTGACTGATGTCCTTTGCCCCAAGGTGATACCTGTCTGCATTGCTCTGGCAGGCAGGGCAAGAAGAAACTATCTTCATCTGTGATTATTTTGCACATTTAAGGCTTTTGGTGGCTTTTGCAACTTTTGTTGTCCTAAATAAACTCTGCTGCTGTTTTGTTTAATGCAAGTGGGAGCTGGTGTGTGAGTCAACACCGTGTTCAGTAAAACTCCACAGAAATGCTATTGTTTTCAGCTCTGTTTTGGGGGGGGGTTGGTTGGGGCTTTTTCTTTAAATGGTTGCTTTGTCCAAGTTCAGCCAGGACAAGCAGAGGTCGGCGAGGTCCCCTGATACTCCGGAATGTAGTTCTGCTGGTGGCCACGCCACAGTTCCTTCTGGTGCCCTGAAAGACAGGCTGGTGTGTCATCTCTTCCCAGTTTCCAGGAGAGGTTTCTTGCGTGTTCCTGATACCATGATCTTTCCTCACCTCACATTCCTGAGTAGTAGAAGGTCCCTGTTCCTGTTATGTCTGAGGGGGAGAACAAAAGACGGGGAAGGGAGCTGCAAATGGTGATCTTCACAGAGGCTGTATCATGTTCTCTGCTTTGCCCTGGTGTGTAAGAGCTTCCCATTCCTGGCTTGTGATGGTTCCTGGCTGCTCTCCTCTTCCCAACTCTCCAAAAGAATCCAGTTGTTAGTCCCTGAGTGTGCTGACAGTTACATCATACTCTGTCATTTCACCGTGGGTGTGAAAAGAGAACAGTGAAACCAAGATAGCTCCAGCACTAGACAACTGGGACTGGGTGCAGGCAACTTGGTGTCACCCTGTGCAGGAGAGGGTGCAGGTGGGGACAGGGGTTTTGCTACCCCTTCCAGCCCGGATTTACTATCACAAAGAAAGGGTAGGAACACCTTATTTACTGTAAGTAAATAGCATATCTATTCATAATTTATCTACTTCTGAATTTTAATGCATTATAGCTGCCTTAATC